CGTTGGGTACATAGTTGTAGGGTTAGACGGGTGTGCGCCATCTGGCAAGTTTAGGTTAGATGACTAAATGGGGGCCTATAGTGGTCGAGGCGAACGAACCCCTGCTATAGGCAGCCTTCCTAGATGAAACCTCGATGTGGACAATGGATAGTGTCCATTGAAATTATCCATAAGCTTAAAGCCCCAGATACAATAGCCTAGGTCGAGGTCACTGAAACATGGGTTTAGGGGAGTCGTACTCTGAGGCGTTTGGATAACGAAGAAGGCCCACGGAAAAGAGCTCACTCACCACATTCGATTAACCCTACATTTCAACCTTAGCTAGGAGGATTCGACCCTAGGCAACCATCTCATCTCTAGCATCCTCCCAACCACTTGGTTTGTTGTTTATTTTGCCTTAGGAGTATGTTAATTTAGTCAAAACCCCTCACCAAACTTCCATCCCGATTAAATAGTAGTTCGGAGAGAAGTAAATTTACAGCTCGATTGCGCACCGAGGAGCGATCACGTTTTTTGAGCCGTTGCCACAGAGTTCTTAAGTCATTAGGAAAAGCCGAGAGCTACTATTTAGTAATTTGTTGTGTGCCAAGTTTGGCGTGGTGTTTTTGTGTTTCTTCATCATCGAATTTTTGGTGCATTTTTCTTGTGTTTTGTGTTTGTAATGTTGTATTTTCTTTCTCGTATATTTATTTCTTTTGTTATCTTGTATTAAGTGTTTGTTCATTTTTTGTTTTCTTTTCTTTTTACACTTTTTCTTTCATAGGTTGTTTTTGTTTTCGTGAATATAGATAGTGTTTAGGTGTAGCTATGGATCCATATGGTTGGTACGAGAAGTGGGAAGATCGCCAAAGGTCGAATTGGTGTTATCTTGAAGCTTCTAGTAGTGGTGCTAGCGAAGGGTCTGGTTACGAAGAACAACCACCTCTCCATGCCAATCAATGGCATGCCATGATGATCAAGTATCTTCACCATCATACGAAGACTCATGGCTGGGTGATGACACTTAAAATATACATGTTTCACCAACACATTTATATCCTAAAATTACCTAAATTATTTTATGTTCATTCGATTTTCCAGTTTTACGCTTGGTTTTGTGTTTGAGTGATTTTTCAGGTCATTCTATTCAAAAGAAACAAAAGAACGAGGAACATAGAGGAAGAAAGCAAAACGATGGTTAGGGTTCAAAATCTGGCATCGGTGGAACTCGAGCTCACGACATCCTGAACGAGGGCAAAGAGCGTACCACTCCAGCCGTGTCCCTTTTAGTGTCATCATACGAAACACGCCGAATATTATGGTGATGAGTTAAGTGACAATGCAGAGTCAAACCAAAAACAACAGAGTCAGACTAACGCCGGTAGCTGAAGGAGAAGCTCTCAAAAGGACCAACGTGGTCAACAACATCGTCGTGTCCAAGACCACATCGACATAATTGGATTTTAAAACTCACCCATGTTGAAGACCACATCACCAGCAGTCAAAAAAGGTGAACACGCCCTTGGACACGGCCATGTTCTGGACCGTGTTCACAACATGCGTTCACAAATGCAGCCACGTCGCGAAATCTTTATTTTATCAACATGGTAGACAACACGGCCGTGTTCACTTACAGATCACGTTCTACATTCATTTTGGTGCAGAAGATAACATTTATGTAGTTACTAGTTGCTGGATCTAACACAGTGTCAAACACGGCCGACAGTTGATGAGCATTGTAATATCCCGACGCTTGTGTTCAGGTTCTACCATAATAAATGAATGGTTGGATCGAAGGTCACGTACGAGAACCTTAAATCAAACCAAACTCGGCTACAATACACAATTGGATGGATAATTGTGGCCACGCTCTTGAAATAAAGGGGCTACATTAATTTGGCCGATTAGGTGGCTTTTCCTCGGTTGCCTCCTTTCACATTTATACATGTATACGTTAGCTAACGGAAGGAATTGGGGTTTACGTTCAATGCGATGATAATAAGCATGATAAGAGCAAATAAAACAGTGGGGTCTTACCACACCACACTCTTCTTGTTTCCATTTCCCCTCCAAAAAAAAACAGTGGGGTCTTGATGTGAGGGTTACTAGTTATAAGGGTTAGTAATAGCTTGCGCCGCTGAAGGGGATGAGACAAAAGGGAAGCAGCCGATCTATCCCTTCCTCTCTCAAGTTCCAGCTGCCAAGAGCAGCAACTCTACCTCCGGATCTCGAATCCATCTCCACCACAAGCACTACCAGCCCTTTCGTTTCAGCAGTAAGAGCAAAGCAACCGCACTCGTAGCGTCATGTGACCGCTCGGGACAGAGCGCAACCACATCTTAATGCGTTCGAGGGAGAGGGAGAGAGAGGACACTACCTGGACAATTTACGAGACGCTAGCTAGTCGATGATGACGCCGAGAGCAACGCTATGCATTGGATGGTTGAGGTAAGGGCTGAACCTCTATAGGCCTTCATCGATTGTAGGGTCACGTAAATGCAATGGAATTGGGTCTCGATTAACTATTGATTATCCAAGAAGGTTCGGTTTGTCTTGTATGCAATTGGAACCAGGGCATTTTCTCTTAATTAAGTACAAGTATATTAAGTCTATTTGTCTTGTATGCATGGAGCTGCATGGATGGATGGAGTCCGGCGATGGGGATCAGTGGACGGAGGTACCGGTACAACTGGGAATTCGTACTAGAGGTAGGCGAGTTTTCCTTCGACTTTGATCCTAGGACCGGCTTGCAATTATTAAGCAAGGACTGACTGATTAAAAACTTCAGAGGAGAGCAATAAATTGATGATGCCTAAATTCCATAGGTGGGTTATTTGCTACGTGGATCTTCATGGTTACGTGGGAGGGGATACACATGCCACCAGAACCATGCAATAGCTATACATGGAGAGACATTGGTAGTAGAAAGAGACAAAAAGGTTATGTTTAGCTAGCGCAAACATAAGGGTATTAAAGAGCTCAGAGGAATTGGCTACGGGTTTGAAACCTGGAGTAAGGATCGGCCATGGGAACTCGAGATATTGGCCGCTGCAATTGATCGTTTGGGGTGATCAATGCAAATGCGTCGACTTAAGGTGAGTGTAAAGGGGGTTAATTCTACGCCTTACGTATTCTTTTAAGTATTATGACTTTAAGTATTTTAGCAAAGTTGTTACCGTTGCTTGATTATGTCATGATTGATGATATGTGCTTGTTTGTGCTGTGGGTTATAATGAATGTGTGTTGTTTGCTTTAAAGCTTTACGTTTATGAGTGATTGTTAAAGTTAAGAACAAGTCCTTTTGTTTTAAGAAGTACTTCACCTTCAAGAAGGTGAAGTCGTTTTAAGTGTTTTTAGTCACTAGCGTCAGTCCGTTGCCATTTGAGATTTTCAAATAGAGCAGCAGTTATGCTCTTGAGATCTTTGAGACAGAGCAGCACTTATGCTCTTGAGATATTTAAGTTGAACAGCAGTTATGCTCTTGAGATTTCTTTAAGATGAGCAACAGTTATGCTCTTGAGAATCGTGGAAGAAGAGCCTTCCACGATAAGTTTAAGTTTAAGGAAAGCTTGGATGGCTTCTCATACATATGAGTTGGCAACCGGACTAGCTAGTGAGGGATCCCCGTGTCAGTCAAGTATTTAAGTCAAGATTTGAGATTTAAGAATGGAAAGTAACAGTAACTCCCATACAGTTTTAAAGGTGGAAGTACAAACAACTTCCACCAATTTAAGTAAGTGTTTTAAGTAAAATGCTAAGCAGTAGAAGTTTAAACGTAAGGGCGTAGACTGACCCCATCTCACTCCCCAGTTTGAAGAGCTAGAGGAGCAGTTAGTGAGCAGCGAGTTCGAGGCCAGCCAGCTAGAGGAGAGCAGTAATTATTTACATTTATGATTATGAGTATAAATTGGAGATCATTTTGAGTATTGAGTTTGCCCATGTGTTAGGGCGTTGATTTGAACTAAAAGTGCGTGTTTTCAGTATTTTATTTATGAAAAATTTTCCCGTTGCAATTTAAGATTTGAGTATTTTATTTATCAAGGGCATTTTGATGTGTTGTGCTCGCTAGGTGATATTTGCTATCTTAGGAAGAACGTGTGTGCAGGATTCTCTTTGTTTTTCTAGTGAACTCAAAGCCTTCGCAAGTTGTCTGTATTAGAAAAGAAAGAAAAGAGAGAATTAATCTTATGAAATTGAGGCCCACGTGAGAGGCAACCAATCCTCACGGATTTGAAGTGCTCTTTGATGATATACTGGGGGATCAGATAGCCTTACCGCGTCTCGACCATCTTTACTACTTACCATCCCCCCATGTACCTTTCCTCCTCACGGAATCGTATGCTAAGGACCAAATGTACCTTTTAGCGATTCATGAGACCTCAAAGCCTCTCGTTTGTACCTGCATGTGTGGCAACCCAATGTGGAGTGCAGGCTAGGAAGTGGTGCTTGGACTTAGATAACCAGTTTGTGGAGCGGAAGCAGGAGCGAGAGCGAGATCGTGAAAGTGTCTAATTTTCAAAGACTTGCAATCAAGAGCGTGATGAGAGCGTCATTATTATATTAATATAATTAATTTTGAATGATGCAAATATTTTCATTATTACTAAGTACAACAACAAATCATATAATATGGATCAATTAATGAAATCATTCACACACTTTACACAATTCAAAATGTTTAGTGTGGATATTAATGACATTTTCCTTTCCTTAACAAATTTATGACACTAGGTAATTAGTAAATATAATATTTTATTGGTAGAAAAGCAACATTTTCTTCGACAGAGGGAAGGGAGACTCCTCTTTTTTTTAACTGCATTAATTTTCAAACTATTATTCTAATAAACAAATAACAAAGTCGGGTAGTGACAGCACACACGCACAATGAAGACCTAATTAACCCTAGCAGGTTAGAGCATTATCTTTAATTCTTTATCCCTTTTCCTTCCTCTATTCTTATCCCTTCCCCTGTTCTCCTTCCACCGCCATTTCTTGATAAGCTTCCTGATGTTTTGGCGAGAGTTGCCCATGCAAATTTATAATTGCTGTCATTTGGATTAAGCCAGATCTTTCATTTGCCGAAATCAAGGACATTGGAGGCGAGCCTCGTCAGGAGCTTTGGAGACACCATGATTGTCCTTTGCTTCCTCTCTCTTCATCTCTTCTACCGCAGCTAAGAATCGCGCTTCACTACCATTTCAATTTCTGTTTATTTTACACTTCATTTTCGTTTCCCCTACTTTGATTTGGACTCTCGAAGTTGAATAGTTCTCGACCAAAACTACGACAGAGATTCCCAAAGAGGTTGAAGCTCATAGGACCATAGTCCGTGACTCATCGCTTCCTAATTGCTTCTCAGCTTTTCTTTTTCTTCTCCAAGATTCAGTTCACGCTCGCCAAATAATAAAGCGCGTTCTCCTAGAAATTAATTCGCGAATTCCCCACGAATTTCACAAAAAGCGCGTTTTGGCGTTTAAGGGTGGGATCGTGGAGATGGGGAAGGCGAATTGGGTGACCTAAGCTCAGACGAAGACGAATACGCCCATCAATTTCCCCACATGCGACCTCGATAGGGAAGGCTATGATTCATTCGCTCTTGGCCATGAGGGAGAGAGGCTTGTTTGCAAAAGAATTGCAAAAGCTTGGTGCAATGCAGGTCAATGTCGAAAAAGGAGACCAATAAACAAAAACTCCTAAATCTAAAGAGAGAATAAAGAGCACCTTTGAGAATTCATGTGCTTATTTGTTGTTTGAGAATCCCTCGGGTACACCTTGAACGTTCGGCCTTAGGCAGTAAGTATGGTCCTCATCCGAGAGTTTGTGCTTGCACAGTGAGATAATAGTAACATTTTCTCATCTCCGTTTACTTTTATTTATGCAATGAAGAACTAGAGTGCATCTCACATTGATTTGTTTACTAAGTTGCATTGGTTTGAGTAGGTTTGCTTGGGAACAAGCAAACGCCTAAGTGCGGAGGAGTTTGATAACACCTAAAATAGGTGTTATCTAGCTTCTATTCTCAAGGAATTTGCATGCTAAATCATTGTTTCTAGGCCACATATCAAGTTATTTATGCCCGTTTTCGTTCCTATTTGTAAAACATGCATTTTGGCACAGGTAGTCTTGATACGAAGGTTTCCATAGGGGAACCGACCCCAATTTGTGGTATTTTATGCTTTCCCAAGTGGTTGTGATGAAATTTCAGGTCATATTCATTTGAGATTGATCGCAAGAGTTCATCCGGGCACGATTGGGAAGAATAGGAGCAAAAGGGGGAGAAAAAGCACTGGCCACGGCCATAGGTGACCCTTGATAAGGCCGTGACGATGATTGCGGCATGTGATCGTGGCCGCGAACTAGAGAAGGCGACCAAGAAGGAGGCAGAGTGTTTCCCCAATCGGATCACGGGCAAGGCGTATTTTGACCGTGGAAAAATATCACGGCCAAGACAAAAGATCGCGATCGGGATCTTATAGCGGAGGTCGCGATCTCGGCACTTAAAGACAAAGTCAAAACGCTGCGACACGGAGACGTCCATCAAGTCACGACCTGGTGACGGCCAGTGGTCACGGAAGGGACCATCAGGTCACGCCCTCGAGGCCGTGACCACCACAATCTGCCGATAAATACTCCCTTTCTGCACTTTAACAAGGAGAGCCACCTTGGGGTGAGAAATTAGGGTTTTTGAGTGCTTTAGTGAGGGAAACACATCGGGAGAGCTTCATTGAAGATCCAATCAACCCAAAGAGCAAGGAGAAGGTGCAAGCTAGGAGAAGCAGCTTGATTCTGTCATTTCCCTCTTCTACTTTGTATTTTCTTCTTCTCTCTAATGATTTGAATCTCTAATGGTAGTATAGAGTAGATGAACCCTCGTTGTAGATTGTGAATGTTTGGGTTATGAATGAATGAATGTGTTTGTCTATTAGATTTTTAATGCCACTCTTTCCTAAATGATGACGCTTGGGCCACTGGCCTCAATCTCCTAGCCTGCTTTATGCTACCGTGCTAGGTACGTAGTTCTAGGGTTAGACGGGTATGCTCCATCTGGCGAGTTTAGGTTTAATGAGTGAATGGGGGCCTATAGTGGTCGAGGCGACCAAACCCCAGTAGCCTTCCTATATGAAACTCGGGATGACATGTTAGTACGAACGCTCGGTCATTAACCCTAGGGCCATCGTGGGGGACATGTTAGTACGAGTAGGCAAGTTTTGCTATCCGACGGATTTTGTGATCCTTGATATAAGTGAGGACTCGGACATGCCACTCATACTAGGACGTCCCTTACTTGCTACCACCAAGGCGTTAATTGATGTTAATGTGGGGACCTTGATTATGAGGGATGGTGAGGAGAGAATCACTCTTGAAATTGAACCTAAGGCTAGAAATGAGGATGTGAAGGAGTTGGTATCGGATGACTTGAATGTGAGTGGAGGAGAGCCTCTCAAGGCGAACCCCACTATTACTTGTGTTGCTTGTGGTGATGTGAAGCAGGAAGTTAAGGAGGGTACTAAGCCCAAAGAAAGGAAGCAGAAAGCTTGGAGGAAAAAGATGAAGCAAGCTTTGGCCCGAAGGAAGGAGAAGGGCAAAGCTACGGTCGTCGGTCAAGAAGGCCACCCCATGGAGCTTCAGTTGGGAAGCTACAAGCCTCGCCCCGAGAACGTGGCAGATCCACTCTCGGTGGCATCATGTTCCTAAACATGATAGATCCGCAATGTCAAGCTAGTGACGTTAACTTAGCGCTTGTTGGGAGGCAACTCAACGTAGGTTTGTTTTCTTGTGATCGAGTGGTATCCCCGTGCCACGTTTTGTGGTTTTGTGTTTTGAGGTTGTTTCATGATCGATAGAAGGCACGGTGATTCGAATTGCTTTCATTTATAGATTTTGTCCACCAAGTTTTAATTTTTGAATGAATGTGCATTGTATGCTGGAATGGTGGATGGTAGACACCGTGGCATGGGTTGGGGTTCAAATCTTTTGTGTAGATGAATCGTGAAATACCCACAACCATGCCACGGTGTGTTGAGCTTAAATGTTTGAAATCCATAGTGGAGATAAAAGTGGGGGGGGGGGGGGATTTCTTTTTCCTCCCTGTGAGTTGTGCTTAACGAATGTTTCCACGTATGGTGTTTGTTTGCCCAAATTTAGCGGGATGGTTAACATGAGCCACCCAAACCTTTCGGTGCTAAGAGGTCTTCCCGCAATGGAAAAGGAGCTGCGTCTTTGGGCAACTGCGATCTCCGGTGATCATCGGAAGCTCGATTTCGCACAGTTCGATAGGCTTCATTGCGGTGATGTTATGAGTGAGGTAGTGGTGCACCCACAATGGCGCCAACTCCTTGATCTCGAAAATGACATTTACGGAGAATTGTGCGTTGAGTTTTTCAATATCTTCACCCTCTTCAAGACCAAAACCCTCCTCGGCCATCAAGTGCGCTAGGTCAAGTTCCTGTTGGGAGGGGAATGTCTCATAATGAGCTACGAAGAGTTAGCTAGAGCTTTAGGAGTTGAAACCGAACATGACACAGAATGGGAGGAAGACGCCATCCGAATTTGCGACATGAATGCCGCATTTTGAAAGTTTTGCCTTCCAGAGCATCGAAGGGCACAGTTTAGGTCAGCCCTCACAATGATATTTCCACTCCAGCCCCAGTGGTGTGTCATCATCGCACTCCTGGATCTTTCCCTCAACCTGACTTACCACAACCCGAACAAGATAACCGAGAGGATCTTACTGGCTTCTTCTTGCATGTTGGACCCATGTAGCAATCTCCACCTGGTTTCAGTCGTGGCCACTTCTTTTGCCAAGGCCATGGGGGGGAAAACATCGTTATGTCACATCAATGGGTCCCTACATCATCACCCTTGCTCGACACTTCAATGTCACCCTTGCAGGATGCACTAGGAAGGGGCGCACCTCGGGGTTTGACGAGGGCACCTTACACTACATGCGCTTATTGTGCACCTTGGGACCGTTTCGGTACATTGAGGGATTGAGTCTACCTCCAGGGGTTCCGCCCCTAGAGCAGCCACTTGCTCGAGCACCCGGCCGCCGCCGGTGTCTTGCGCTCCAGCGCCCTATACCACCACCAGCAGCAACTTTATCATCTAGACCAGCTGGAGATCCCCCCATCCAGAGGATGGATCGCCTCGAGACTCAGTTTGGGGGGAGTGACTTCCCGCCTCGACCGACAGACCAACCTCTTTGAGAAGATGGCTCGACACTAGGGTCTCATTCACGATGATGATCTAGGGCCTTCAACCCAATGAGAGGTAGCCGACAAGGGAGATATGGCTTTTGTTTTATTTTTCATTCTTTTATATGTTTGCAACTATAAACGTGTAATAACCTCGCCTTGAGCGAGTCGTATTGTATTTGTGTATGTGTGTTTTTGTATTCTCCTTGAAGCTCCAAATCTCCTACCCCGGAAACAATTCCAACTTTCACACACCAACCAAAGCAATAACATTGTTCTACCCCTATCTTACGCCATTGAGGGCAATGTCGAGCTTAAGTGTGTGTGTGGGGGGAGGGGGGGGGGTAGTTTAATATTATGCTTGTGTGAGTGTGATTGATGCTTGGAGCCTTGATATTTACCCAAATTTGAAAATGTTGAGGACTCCAAGCGATGTTTGCATGATCAAAGTGGCCGGTTTGTGGGAGAATTACGTGTCTATTGGCTTTAACCTTGTATTGTTGTATGTGATCAAGTGTGTCCTATGATGATGACTGAGAGGTGCATTAGGATAGTGCAAAGGTTTAGTTCTCATGTGTGCAAAAATGAATGAATGTTTTGACTCGATTACTTGTTGATTACAATTGCCATGCATGTTGCTTTGTGAATTGGAATAGATGGTTGGGTGACTAGGTAGCCATGTGAGTTTTGAGCCGATCGTTTTAATCTTGTGTGCTTAGATCCCTCTTACCATGGCGAGTAACATCACAGTTGTCACTAGTGAGAATGATGGAGGCATAGGATTAGTCCACGCCCAAATGTTGATTGTCCCGAAATGATCTATCCACTAGTCAACCCCTTAAAGCATTGTGACTTTGGGGGTCGTTCTCATGTTAGGAGCTTTTTTCTTGTGAGCTTAATGGTGCTTGATAGAATGACCCCCCATCCTTTCTTAGTGTCTATACTTGTGTCGTCCTTGTGTCTCGGATCTCTCGCTTTTGAGTTCGATTGAGGTTCTACATAGGAGCATTTTGTGTGGTTCTTGTTAGACACGAAAGTGAAAGGAAGAGTAGTGTTGGAGTGAGTTCTTAAAAAGAGAGAATTGATCATTAAAAGTAGTGTGGCAAATGTTTAACTCTCTAGTTGCCCCCTCAAAAAGAAAAGAAAAGAAAGAAAGAAAAGGAAAGTAGAAAGAAATAAACGAAAAAGAGGTAATAAAACGGGGTAAATAAAGTAGAGAGTGTCACAAGGAAGTAAAGACTATGATCTAGGAGAGGTTTCTTGTCACTCAAGCCATTGAAACCTCCACATTGTCTTAGAACTCGTTCACTTCCAATGTGAAATGTGATAGCAAGAGTTGACCGAGGAAGAGTGCTTAAAGGAAGTTCATGATGGGTGATAGTTTGGAAGGGAGAAGCGAGGTTTTACGCCAATGCTAGTGGCCATTGTTTGTAAGGAAGGTTCTTAGTCGAAACCATAGAACCTTCGGTTTTATGGTTAAACTTGCATTGATTCATGAACAAGGGGAGAACTTTTCATTTACCTGTTTCTAGTAGCCTCGAATGTCGTTTGTGGTAGATGTCGGTATTGCTTGCAACGGTCCTTGTGTTAACTGCCATTAGCCCCGAATGTCGTCTTGCTTTGTTTGGAAGCTGATAAACATTGAGAAAGGAAGGGAAAGAGGAAGAATAGAAGGAAGAACGAGGAGGAACAAGAAGAACAGAGAAGGGGAAAGAAAGCATAGAAGAATTGGGGAAAATAATATTATGTATTCGTTATCCTCACAATTACAACAGAATCCCACTTTATAGGAAAACCCAATTACCAAATGATCCACAAACTAATTCTTGTTTACAGTTTGATCCTAATCACTACAGTCTCTACCCCTTGAAAACCAGCTTGTCCTCAAGCTGAAAACAATAACAGGAAGGAATCAGTGATGACCCACACCATTAACCTCAGAAGCATCACCAACCACCATCATAACTTCATAACAACCACAAAACACCCAGCCATGTTGAAATTCCAGACCAAACAGCTTTTCAACATTGCATCCCCAGCCACCTTGTATGGTTATTTGAAGTTGAGACAATTACCTCTTCCTCTAGACACCACACCATAAAAGTAAGAAGCCAAAACCTTGCAGAGAAGACGATGAAGTTCTTGTGTTGATCCAACAACAATGAAATCACTCAATACCACAATTCCACCCGGGTCAAACAACCTAATAACGGTGTCTGCAATTCCAAGCAAACAAGCAGCTTTGTGAGCTTCTAGTTTTACCTTTACTGCTGCACTTAAATCTTCACCATATTGAGCCAATACAAAGAGGGATGGTGAAGCTACCATAGTTCCATTCTAGGCATTTGCAGTAGTAAGCTGTGAACCCATGAAAGCAACATCCTTACCAACTCTAAACCATTCAGGGGTTGTAATATTTAATGCCTTCCTACAAGTAAATCCTTGAGTGAGCCTAGAATTATTGCTAAGTTGGCAGCAAGCTCCCTAATACCCATATGTACAATAACTCTGTAGCAACAGGTACTATAAAGCTCATAACCACAATCCAACAGCCCATCATCCTTATATGGAGCACTTCTACTATGCAATATAGCATTGGTGCTTTAATGTACAACTTGAAATTGTACCATAACATAAGGTACAAGTTTAAGTTGTACCATAAAAGAATTTGTATCATTATGTTATGGTACAACTTTACAACTTGAAGTTGTACCATCACATAAGGTACAAGTTTAAGTTGTACCATAAAAGAATTTGTACAAAAAGTATAGGTACAATATGAAGTTGTACCATAACGTTAAAAGTACAATTTCAAGTTGTACCATAAAGGCAAAAACCTATAGCACCAATGCTATATAGCATTGTAAAATTCCTCCCTTATATGGCCCTTTAAAATTGGGACAATCACCCCTCCCCATAGATGCCACAGTATACCAGTAGGTGTCATCAACCTTATGATTCGGGCCTAATTGTACACATTTTATCCCAGTTTCCTTTGGACGTTTGTGGCATTTGAACTTCTAAAAGGTTGGTTTTATGCTAGGTTTTGTGTGTTTCAGTGCGTTTCGGGATCTAACAGGTGAAACCAGCCCCAGAGTCGAAAGTTGGAAGGAAATGAGCAAAGACCGGGCAAACGGAGGGATTCAGGCCATGTTCACGGTTTCCCATTGGAGTTGACAGTCTCTTAAGGCCGTGAACCGCGAAGTGTCCAGGGTGATTTCAGAGGTTACTAACGCTGAGTGAGTTCACGGCCACTAAGACCGTGAACTTTGAGTGAAAACCATGAACTCAAGTGAGTGAATCGGTTCGTTTCGACATAGCACTCCGAGTTCACGGACGCGTTGAGGATTTCACGGGCGTGAACTGAAGCCTTGAACTGAGCCCGATCCCAGTATATAACGTGAGCTGAAAGGAAGAGAGAGGGAGAGCCCAAGTGTGGAAAGCACCTTCTTCTTCATATTTTAGAGAGAGAAAGGACGAACCAAAAAGGAAAGGAGGCTAGGGTTTGCTCCAAGTAGTGAATTGGGAAGAATCTCCTCAATAGAAGATCAACACAAGAATCTGCTCACCATGATGGTTTCTACTTCTTTATTTTGTGTTCTTCCCCTTTCTAGCATTGAGTAGTTTCCTTTTTCACATGAGTGTTGTGAAACCCTAACTATTTACCGTGTAGTTGTTGTGTGAATTGAATGATTGTTTATAGGTGTTGTTTAATTTAATGATTGAGGTATTTTCATGATGATTGTGCATGTTTGTGCTTAGCAATCTAATTGGTCATTCTAACCTAGGTTAGAGGGGAACCCCCCTTTCCAAAGAGGCTCAATTGAGTTGGGATTCCTTGGGTTTTTCAAGCCACCTACCTAGGTTAATGAGGGCAAACCTCTATCTTGAATTAAACGACTAGGTTAATCGTGATTAAGCCGTCCAACCATCGGTTTGAGGGAGAAGGTAAGATAACCCTCAATTGCTTTAACCAAGAGGGCTACTCTAGTAGCCTATAATGTATCCCTTGGTTTGGCAATTGAGAGTGTGGTCTTCGACTAAGGGTGGGCAACCGGTTCGGTAAACCTGAACCAAAATCGAAACTGAATTAATGTTATTCGGCTCGGAATTCAGAATGAAAATATGGATATTTTGGAAACTAGGGTTCTTTCAACTGAACTGAATTTCCGAATTTCTGACCGAAAAACCGAAATACTATTATTGCAAGCTCCAAATGGTGGATTTTTTTATGTTTGTAGTAATTTTTAGACTTAAATATTTGAAATGTATTCTGACTTATGTGTTGAAAAGTTTGATTTTATCATTGATGATTCATATAATTGCATATTTATTGCTTACATTAGGGGTGAAAAATAACTTAAAAGTGAGAAGATACAAGTAGTTTCACAAATTTGGTTTTGTGTGAAAAACCGAACCAAATTATAATTATGTTCGAATTCGGTTTGAGGTTTGGGAGAATTTGGGGACCCAGTATTAATAATTTCGGTTCGTTTGAAATCGAACTGTCAGAATGCCCACCCCTATCTTCGACCATAGTTGCACTTCCTAGAGGTTCACCATTGCCTCGCCCATAACGACTCATTCGAGTCCACGAGCTATGATAGTAGTTAGGGGGAAGCGACACTCGAGTGATTCTTCTCATCTAGAGCTTTCAAACCATTTACCTTTGCTTTGTTTTTATTTAATCCTTATAGTTTTCAACCAAAAACCAATCCGCTAGATAATGTTTCAAACAATGGAGCTAGGGGTACATGGACCGGCCCGGGTTGATATTTAAACATACTTGCCTCATATTGCACACATCTAAGGTTTATACTTGGGCCTTAGGTGGGATTTTGTTGTGATATTAAGGATGAGTCACCTTACAATCAAATGGGAGATACATCTTGTGAGTTGGTCCAATGACACTGTACCTGCACAACTGCTAGAGCAAACCCAAAATTCAAGTCCCCACTTCCATGGGCATTAAGTGGAAGTTTGGCTACTTCATTGTCGATACTGATTCGATGCAAACCTCGTTACTAAGAGTCGATGCAATTGTGGTTCCATTTCCCATTGTGTCCAAAACTCCAAGGTACGTAGCTGTATTCTTGTGCTCATCATACTCATCGTCGTTCCCCATTTCTGTTACAGCTAAACAACCACCCAAAACATCTGCAATGCTACCTCTAGCTAACGAAACTCATGAATCTGATTCTCGAGCAGCTTCCTTGCGCCCATCTCTATCAAAAACAGCAGCAGAATCCCCTACAAGGTTCTCCCCAACTGATGTAGCGTCCACTTGCAGTTTGGATTCATGGGCAGCGTTGATCTTAGCCACCTTAATTCCATTTTGAGTGCTTGTAACTGAGGTCGCTGTGGTGGTAGTGCTCAATCCAATCTCATAGTCTTGACTCCTAGTTAGCTTTACCATCAGTTTGGCATTTTGATTGTCTACATCCAGCTGATCCAAGACCATCTCACCAACCTTTGCAAGACACCTCGCACAAGCCAATGCCAAAATGTCACTTCTCACGAGCAATACACCAATGGGAATACTTGGATTGGCTACCACAACCCCAATTTGAGATGCAATAATCTCACTATTTCTTATTGACACACTAACACACAACACCAAACTGCGACCAAGTGTAATCGCAGTCCGGAAATGCAGTGACAGGCAAGCTCTAATTGTCAACCCGGGGTCTAGATCTACTGCCTACTCCGTGTATATATGTTATCTAGCAAACTAAGTTGAGTGATTGTTGATTTAACTAAAAGCAGTAAGAAAGCAGGAAATGGTTCGTTTTCTAATGCAAGGGAAGAGTCACTCGGGAATGAGTCCCCCTAGCTCCTTAGTTAAGTCTCGGTTGTAATTACCCTGGGTTGATTAACTGTTGATTAAACTACGAAAGATCCGACAGTAGCTTGGAATCTCTTAAGCTGACCAAGCCCTCTTAGGCAGACTAACCGGCAAGCGACTAACCTTCACCGGGATAGACTACTGAGGAAATAAGCACAGAACTCCACTACTGTAATTGGGTTCCAGTACAAAGCAGTAGATTGATTAACTCTCGTATAACCAATCTACCACTATCGATTGATGAAGGTCTAACAACCTAATCAGATTATATCTATCTCAGGGTTGCAGCAGAAATCAAGAAAAGATGATTAGACTTTAATTGACTCAATGAATCTTGCATCAATCGATTAAAATCAAACAGTATAACAATCCCAAGTCATTACAATCAAGATCCCTAACACATGGAACTAGGGTTCTTCATACCCAAGTGAGAGAAAGTTCTACTCCATAGAGAGAGAGAGGAAAACAGAATACAAAGCAGTCATACTCATAATAATGGGAAGAATCTGCTCTGGGATGTCAATCTTCACTCATGGGGATGCAATCTGGGCTTCAATGGTGAGAAATCCACTCCAAATAGCTCCTAGGGTTTCTTCTTCGCACTTTCTCTCTCTAAAACTCTGTTTTTGCTCCAAAAATTCTATTCTCTCTCCTTTGGCTCGAAATTGGGTTCAAACCCAGAAATTCCCGACCACACGGCCGTGTGGCTTTCCCAGCTGCCCGTGTGAGTGTGCAAAACGCCGTGTTTCACTTAAGTGGCTTCAGGTACGCTACACGGCCGTGTGGATTTCCAGACTGCTCGTCTGAGCTCCCTGGACTTTCCACACGGCCACACGGGGTCCCCTACACGGCCAGTGTGGGTTTCCCGTGCAAAACGGTGCCACACGGCCAAGTCACATGGCCGTGTGGGATTTTCGGCGTGCCCGTGTGGCTTTCCCAGCTTCTCGCCAACCGTCCAATCTTCGTCCAATCGACCCAGAACTCGTTCCCAAACCTTCATTCACGTACTAGGACCTGAAATATCACAAACAAGAACAACCTAGCGTGAAATCAACCTAAAACACAAGAAACAAGACTCAAACGGTGTAAGAACGGTGGACAAAAACATGTGTATATATCAAGTCATCACTTATTCTGGAACCCAATGTTGCAGGAGGAAATGACACAGAAACAGGGTTGTGAATTGTGTTCACCTTTATCTCACTATCCTCAACAATTAAATCACCATTCCCATCAACCATGTTTGAGGGAATAAAAGATTCCACAGTCACAGTCGTTGTCCGTTCCTCCAAACCTACGAAATCACCAAGCTCACCAAGCTGTAATCTGCAGGCCGCAATGGCATCTTCTTCCCATTGAGCTCGATTGTAGGCTTGAGCTAATGTTCGAATATAGGGCTGCAACATGGACAAAACTGGTCGTCGCTCTTCCTCTAAACCACTGATAAACCTCGAAATGAAAAAATCCTCGTCCAATGCAGGCCTAAATCGAGCCAACAGTGATTTCAATTCCTCAAACTGTGCTTTATACTCTAACAGAGACCCTTGCTGCCTAAGCTCGTTAAACTTGTTGACGAAAGAGGGAAACTCCAAAAGCTTAGTAGATGGAGAATTACTGTCCAGTAGGCTATGAATTCTAGTTGCGGTAGGGAGATGGTTGGAAGACTTACGAGCTGGAATGATGGCATAAGAAACTACCTCAGGTAAAGGAGTCTTCGTCGTAGAAACCTTTTGCACGCCAATTCATTGAACAGATGGTGGGTGGGTGATTTCAGCATAGTTCCAGCTAGCCAAAGGCTCCTCCCCGTTGGTAGCCGCGACCGCAAAAACAGATGGTGGGTGGGTGATTTCAGCAGAGTTCCAGCTAGCCAAAGGCTCCTCCCCGTTAGAGCCCAAGTTTTTAAACTCTAATCGGGTGTAGTATAGGGCAAGTATCAATATATCGACTCGGGCCGGTCCGTCTACCCCTACTTCGGTTGTTGAAATCATTATCTAGCGTAAAACTTTGGTTTAAAGGTTTGCCAATTGAAATGAAAGAAAGCAAAAGTAATTTGGGTATTGAAACTCTTTTGTGGGAAAGTCACTTGGGGTTCGCTTCCCCCTAAACAGCTACTATGCTACGTGGGATGGAACAATTGCCTTGGGCACGCTAATCGTGACCACATAGGAAAGCGTATGTGGTCGGGTACCACAGTCTCGATTACTAAACCGAGGTGAGGATGAAAGGTCGTGTCACTCGACCCTCTCAGTTTAGACAATCGGTAATCGGCTTACTTCCTCACTCAACTCTAAGGTCGGACGGTTTAACCACGATTAATCGACTTGTTCAATTCAATATTGAGGATTGACCTAACTCGACCAAGTTTAGGTGGCTTGGAAAGCAGAAGGAAAACCACCTCGATTGAGTCTCCCTAAAAAGGGGGGATTTTCCTCTCTAAACTAGGCTAACTTGGCAAATTAGATTACTAGCACATAAATGCACAAACTTAGGGGGTGCTAAGCACGATTATGCACAACCCTAGGATGCTAAGCACAAAATATGCACAACCCCTAAGTTGCTAAGCATAAGCATGCCAAATCATGGTGAAAATACCTCAAACATTAAATTGAACAATGCCCAATATCAATCATTGACACGTCAAAACACAACACCAATCTGCGACCAAGTGTAATCGCAGACCGGGAATGCAGTAACAGGCAAGTTATATTATCAACCCGGGCTCTAGATCTACTGCTTACTCAGTGATTCTCTGTTATCTAGCCAACTAAAGTAAGTGATTGTTGTTTAAACTAAAAGCAGAAATAAAGCAGGAAATTATTCGGTTTTCTTAAGCAGGAAAGAGTCACTCGGGAATGAATCCCCCTAGCTCTTTAGTTAGGTTTCAATTGCAATTTACCCTGGGTTGATTTACTGTTGATTAAACTGCGGAAGATCCGACAGTAGCTTGGAATCTCTTAAGCTGACCAAGCCCTCTCAGTCTAACTACCCGGCAGACGACTAGTCTTCACCGGGATAGAAAGCTGAAGCAGTAAGAACAGAAATTCACTACTGGAATTAGATTCCAGTACAAAGCAGTAAACTGGCTAACTCTCGTATAGCCAGTCTCCTACTATCGAATGATGAGACTCTAGCAACCTAATCAGATTCTATCTATCTCAGATTGCAGCAGGAATCAGGAAAAGTTGATCAGACTTCAATTGACTCAATAAACATGCATCATTCGATTATAATCAAACAGTAATATCATCCCAAGTCATTACAATCAATCCCCTAACACATAGAACTAGGGTTCTTCATCCCCAAGTGAGAGAGAGGTTCTACTCCATAGAGAGAGAAAAGAAAACAGTAATCGGAGTAGTCATACTCATAATGATGAGGAAAATCTGCTCCGGGATGATGATTTCCACTCCTAGGACGATCTCCAAGCTTGATTTGATGAAACCCAGCTCCAAGATGGCTTCTAGGGTGAGTTCTTCGCACTTTCTCTCTCTAAAACTCTGTTTTTGCTCAAGGAATTCGATCCCCTCTCTTGCAGCCCGGAATTGGGTTAAAACCAGGAAATCCCGACTCACACAGGCAGGGCCACACGGTCGTGTGGCATACCCAGTTGCCCGTGTGAGTCAAAATGCCGCGTTTCATTAAGTTTGATCTTCAGGCATCTCACACGGCCAGAATGGCACGGCCGTGTTTGATTTCCATCTGCCCGTGTCTGCTCACGGCAAAAGTCACACGGCCAGAGCACTTCGTCACACGGCCGTGCGAAAAGTCAGGGCAGGCCGTGTTTGCTCTCGGCAAAACACACACGGCCAGAAATATGCGTTGCACGGCCGTGTGATTTGTGGGTGTGCCCGTGTGGCTTCCTTAGCACCTCGCCACGCGTCCGATCTTCATCCAATCGACCCCAAACTCGCTCCCACGCCTCCATTCACGTACTAGGACCTGAAATATGACAAACAAGCACAACCTAGCGTGAAATCGGCCTAAAACACGAGAAATCATATCTCAAACGGTGTAAGAACAGGGGTAAAAACATGTGTAATTAACGGTATATCAAACTCCCCCACACTTAACCGTTTGCTTGTCCCCAAGCAAACCAAGTCAGACACAAGGTAAGCTCACATATCTCAATCAATTAACATTGGGGACAAGTCATAAAGGCACAGAACACGTGAATCGTACTGGTTTTCAAACATCAACACATGAGCAACTTCATTAGCAACCTGGACAACCACCACAAAGGACATTCGAGTGCAGCAAAATCGAGTAAAGGAAGAGTCCCCCTTCTGTTCACCAAGCAACCTAGACTTGACTCAACCACTTACTCAAAACAGTCAACTCATGCATCCAACTCAAAACATCAGAATAGAGACCGAGCAATCTAGGTCCTCACCGGGGTACAAGAGTATATAGAATATGAAAAATGAATCACTCACTCTCGACCAGTGGGGTCAGGACAATTTGATGCGAAAAATGCGCATGTTATTTCTCTCAATCCCTAACATCTCTTCACCATGATGGCAGCCTCTAAATGCTAGAGTTCACATATGGGGTGTCACCACTAACTAATCAGGAGGTCTTAGACACAGGTTCAAATGACTGGCTAGGGTCTTGGACAT